ACAAGACCCGCAAAGTTCTCATGATAGACTCAAGCAGTTCGTGCATATAGCGAGATCATGTAGTTGCGTTTCTAAGTGCACGCCATCACAGAGGAAGCCCTTCACCGGGACCCGGACGAGGAATTTGAAGGTAACACTGCAAACTTACCCTGCCACCCATGGTGCTGACCGAATCGACTTTTTTTTCAGTTGAAGTCGAGCGTGTTCAAGCAGACGAGGAGAAGTTGTTAGAAGTGCTCCCCCGTAACTCTCAAGACGCTATTGTCTCTTGTCTAAGCCTCCATTGGGTGAACGACCTCCCAGGTCGGTTTTGAGCCTTAATTCGTGAACCCTTCTCCAATATCCTCTTTACTAGGCTTGCTCGTGCAGATAAAAGAAGCGCTAAAACCTGATGGCCTTTTCCTTGGTGCCATGTTTGGCGGAGAGACCCTGTTCGAGCTCAGGACAGCACTTCAATTGGCTGAAGTCGACCGCGAGGGGGGCATATCTCCACACGTGTCACCTATGACAGGTTGGCACGGTTCCATTGCCTCCGATACGATCTTTCATCTACATGATCCTGAGCGCAGGTACCAAAGATATTTCTGGCCTTCTGGGGCGCGCTGGATTTACTCTCCTTACCGTCGACGCAGATGAAGTGCGCATCGGGTATCCGTCGATGTGGGAGCTTATCGAGGACTTGCAGGATATGGGGGAGGGCAATGCCCTTGTTGGAAGGTGATTGTCAAATCCGGTTTCATGAAAGCATGAGGCTAAGCGCTGTTGGTCAGACGGCATTTCATGCACCGTGATACCTTGGCAGCCGCATCTGCCATTTATAAAGGTGATGATTACCTGGCATCTACTTTCTAGTTATATTCACTGGAGATATATATGCAGAACTACATGGTAACGAAGAAGGTTCAATCCCAGCAACATTTCAGATAATATACATGGTATACATCCATTGCAACTTTTCATATACTGCAGGCTGCTTATCTATCATGAGCTTATTAGATCGGCTGGAAACCTTCGTCGACACAGCGCAAGCCTCTTGAACGCGGTTCTGCAAAGACAAGTCTTAAAGATGTTCTCTAATATCATACAGTACTACCCTTCCTATCTTCGACGCACACCCCGTAACCAATGATGATGGTCGCCTGCGTCATTTATGGGAGTCGCCTTTGGTTTGTGGCTCATTGAAAATTCAGATACGTGGCGGTGGCAAGCAGGGCCGTAGTACCGGCACTCTCGTCATTCACGTAAAAATTAACGTACACCTCTGTGGAGAGATCGAGAAACAATCGTTGGGAATCAAGGCGGACCCACAGAGCGTAGTTTATACATGGACCCACCACCACAGATCGTAGTCGATACCACTCACGAACTACAAAATGTCCTTTCAAACTCCCGATTATTACAAGAAAGATGGAACTGTTTTCAGACTTGAACGAAGTTTGGGTAAATGATACTGGGTTGAATTACTGGTATAGATGTGCGGTATCCGCCGCTCCTGTGACTAGGATGTGCAACATCAATGCAGGCAAGAAAAGTGAAGAGAGGAACGCTTGGGGAATCAAGGGGCTGATCGCTACTCAAAGTCGACAAGCCCATATGACCATAATATGAACATGTGTCCATTCCCTCCGTAATTCCGTCCATCAAATCCCCGCACCCCACATTCCGCAACTCACTTAGGAAGAACACGCTTCAGGAACTCTTTCAAGTCTTCCAGCGTTCGCTCACATGCCTCGTGGCCCTCGGATCTGTACGATCTGAAACTTAAACCTGCAGTACCCATTTTGCCCTCTTCAGGCGAGTAACCGCTCGCCGGGAGTTGCATCGAGAGCGTAAGGTTTTCAAGCGCTGGCACGTTGAATTGGTTTGTGAGCATGTTCGCGGCTTTCTGGGCCACAATGTAAGGTACGACGTTGTCGCCGTGCCATGACACATGAGCACTGGTGTAGTGGTCAATTGCGGAGAAATCAGCTGTGCAGAAGAAAGCGTCAGAAGAGTATCAGAATCCCACTGGACATGCCAACCTTCGAAAAATCATCTTTGAGCAGCATCCATCCACTGAGGATGGCCACACCGCCGAGTTTCCAGCCTCCCTTCCCGCCAGCTACACCCTCTTCGCCGCGAGCTGTGAGTGCAGTCAAGAGGGACATTGCCCCGCCCTGGCTGAAGCCGCCAAGGACGATTCGTCCAGGCAGTATACCGGCGTCAACTTCGTCTTGGATATGCTGGTCGATCGTGCGGGCGGACTCGAGCACACCAAGGCGGTCTTCATTTTTGTCCTCTAGATCCCAGGAGCGTAGATCAAACCATCCTGACATCCCGAAGCCCATATTGGCTGTTATGCTGCGATTTGGGGCATTAGGAAGAAGCCACTTGACGTGAGGCAGCTGGACTTTAAGTTCTTTTATAATGTCAAGCCAGCCCTTGCCACTATCGCCAAGGCCCTAGCAGCGCCGGAGGAATGATTCAACACACGATGGGGTCAGCGATATGACAGCAATGAAACGACAGACAAAACGAGCATACATGCAAGAAGATGACTGTTGCAGTATGATTTTCCAACGGCTTGACGACCTCGAAGGGCCGAAGTAAGGACGATACGCGCGCTGCCATGTTATTTCGAGGAGGAAGAGGTTTACCACGAAGAGAGTCTTTCGAGGATAGCGCAGTCGAAATGGGATACTGCGAGGAGAGACGCCAGGGAAGATAGAAAGCGAAGAAGAGAGCAATAAATACTGCGATCAATGACCCCTTCAGCACATATATGGCTAAGAACATGCACCAGGGCTGGCAGGCCACGTCTTTGTACAACTAGATCATATACCTTCGGCCTACTCCGGACCGGCCCGGGTGAACATGACATGACCGCAATCTCCGAGTCATTAACATTCTGAATTCAGAATCCTACCCACTCGCCTCGATGGCCACAATAGCACTCCCCAGTAGCGGACACTGCAAGTAAGCCAAAAGAACAACAGGAAACAGGGACATCACACCCCCAGGGTCTCTCAAAGAATGCACAGAAGCGTGCCGCAAAAGCCGCGAGACTCCATGAACTTAAACTTGAACGCAGGGCACGAGAAAAGGAGGCCAAGAAGCGCAAACGCCGCGAACTCGCTCAGGCTGTTGCAAATGGTGAAAGTCTCCCCCGAAAGAGACACAGGGCCAATCCCGTTGGTGAAGTGAAAGTGTTCGACGCAAGAGTAGTTATCGATCTGGGTTTTGATGAACTGATGTCGGACAAAGTTAGTGTCTCGCTTCGCTCTTGTTTCCTCATGTGATGATGGTCAATACACAGGAGATCAACTCTCTCACTTCGCAGCTGGCGTATACATACAGCACTAACCGACGCTCTACACACTCATTTTCATCCTTGCTCTTCACCTCCCTGAATGGCAGAACCAAGGAAAGATTAGATGCCATGAACGAAGCTGGTTACAGGAGGTGGTCAAAGACAGAGTGGTGGGAGGAGGGCTACGATCACTTATGGACAGAGCCCTCCCCGTCAATCGAACAAACCCATCGGCAAGACGACGATGCTATCCGTGCGACTGTTGTGTATCTAACCGCTGATTCCGAGGAAGAGCTACTGGAACTCAAGGAAGGCGAAACCTATATTATTGGCGGAATATGCGACCACAATCGATACAAGGTCAGCGCGAATAATTATATACATATATCGGACTTATCGGTAGTCACAGAGTCTCTGCTTAAACAAAGCCATTGACTCAAGGATCCGTCATGCCCGCCTCCCAATCGGTCGCTACATTGCGCTTGCGACACGCAAGGTACTCACCGTCAACCAGGTGTGTTTTTCAATTGGGTTATTTTCTAGTTCATGTCACTTTCTGGTTCGGGAAAAAAAATCTACCCTGGTCATTTCGTCGTTCCATCTCAGCCTTTTGATGATACTAATTCCGGACATTTTCGCTACGTCCGTCATCTTTGTCATCGAACCTTATGGAACGTGGTGAACAGGTCTTCGAAATTCTCCTGAAATGGATCGACACTCGTAACTGGGAAGAAGCTTTCTGGGCTGTCATTCCAAAACGAAAGTTCCAAGGTAGGCGTCGGGATGAAGGCAGCGAGGGTGATTCTTCAGGTCAAGACGACGACGAAAATGTGAACCAGAGCAACCGTGTCTGCGGCGGCGAGCACTTCCAGGCCGATGGTTCAGAGATCGTGGTAGTCGACGGGGTAGCAGAGGAAGATGAGGTCGACCACAATGAAGCAGTGTTTGGCCAAGGAGAGGATCGAGGATCAGTGGATTAGGACGAGGAGTCTGCTAATACTTCCATCTCTCTACGAGTAGATGGGATTTTGTCGTATATCTGGCGTGGGGATTAGCTGAAGACTAGGTCGCTTTGACTGGCGATTATGAGCTGATAATGCACGATGAGATTCTGAAGGTCCCGCTAACACGTATACCAACTGGAATTACGACCCGATGACTTCCCCACTGGCAACTCCGCCTCAGTGTCTCTGGAATCCCCTGATGTTCCCGTTTAGTAGTACCCGTTCGCTCCAAAGTACATACATTCGCAAGGCGAATGCGCCCACACAGGTTGCGAGCTGCAGTCAGGTATTGCGTTCAAGTTGCACCATTCACAGCCATCCAACCATAGCGCATGAGATGGTTCTCTGAATTAGCTACCCATAGATGCTCGTAATTTCGCACAAGCTGGTGAGTGAGCTATCGTATGAAGGAGTAACGAATCAACATCAATTTGAGCAGCTTCTCACGAAAAGATATGTTTGGGGAGGAAATCGTTCTCGTTGACGTACGTGCCAATGGGTCTATCATCTCGATTGTAGTGGGTGGTAACATTTGTTTCGGAGTGACCATGCTCTCTTTCCGCTTGATGCTTCGGGTTACTGGCAATGCTGCCCTTTGCATCCTCATTACAAAAGGTGCATCAACAATCAGCATTGCAGGAGTTTGAGAACACGAATGGGACTAGGCTGCAGTAACTAAGATTCATTAATAGTAGGAGATTGCCGTGTGCCCCATGGCTGAGTTGGTTACAGCGTCCGACTGTTAACCCAAACGGTTGATCATCGGAAGGTCGTGAGTTCGAGCCTCACTGGGGCAGTTATTTTTATCATGTGTTAAACTTGGATGTCGAAAGCGACGAAGTTATTTCTCATACCGCCAGCACGACAGCAGATTGAAGCCTTGGGCTTACAACAGGCAATTGAAGGACCTGGAGGCAGAGGTCATCAACCCTAGCTTAGCTTTGCTTTGCCTTTCGTTATCGACTTTTATCTTCTTGGCCTGCACTACGAGCGAGTATACTTACTGTTCCATGTGCACATCTATCCAGCAGGCTCGAGATGAATCACCTTAGGTACAGGTCTTAGCGACACAGAACGTATCTTTGTCCGAGTTCACGGTCAGAGAGCCACAGTAGTGATGACATATTGTAAGACACAAGCAACGTCGAAATAAAGACAATAATCTAGTGCAAACACGAACAACTTAGAGAAAGATTAAGACAGCTAGCTAGTATTCGCCACGCGAAGTGTAGCCACATTCGATGGTGACTAGGCGGTGAATCTACTCCTGCTACGAAGTCGTCCAGACACTCGTTCAGGACGCCCAACAGCTCGTGCACGACAGCATCTCTGTTCCACTCTGCTCTATGGTGCCAGATCCAGCTGAGACAGGTTGCTCGGAGCTGCCCCGAGCTGGTACTGTAGGTTCGACAGTAGCTCCTCGTCCACGTGGAAGTCTGGAAGAGGGGTTGGGGACCTTGTCGGCTCTCGTGGAGGGGGTACGATGGGCAGCATATCAAGATCGGGAAGAGGCCCCAAAGTGCGGACAGGAGTCCGAGGAGAACGCGTTGGGAGCGACTGCATCAGTGGGACAAGAATAACGTGGTATGACCTTGTCTAGATTGGCAATGTGGGATATAATGACTCCAAGTTATGTTGCCTTAGATGTGTCTAGAATGAGGTGTCGGGTAGACAATAAATTTGATTTGCTTCGACAACGAGTAAAACATGCCTAGCGAAAGGTATACGTTGATATGAACATTGTCTAACTGTGGGCATCCACTTCTGCTTGGGCCTTAAGCTTACAGATTATGCAACACATGAGAATGTCCTACAAAGCCCTACAACACGCGTAGCAAATGGTGGCCTAAGGCCAGAGCTTTATACACCATTGTAGAATGATTCCAAAGTGCTTATCCAGCACGCTACGTGATACTGAATTCCACAGTGAAACTCGGGTCCAGTCTTCAAGCCTCAAATTTTTGCGAAGTTTTTTTTTCCCCCTTCACGCCTTCCCTATTCACTACACTCAGGCTTCAACATCACACATATTACTCACTACTGACCGGTCGATCTGTCGCCTCAAAAATGGGCCCGTTGCCTCAAGCATGGACCCGTTGCCTGAAAAATGGACCATCCGCATCGAAAAATAACCCGCCATCTCGAATTCCGACACGCTGCCTCAAAACATTACCTCAAAATGGACCCATCACCTCGAACGTGGACCCGTCACATCAAATGGACCACCTGCATCAAAATTGACCCCGCCACCTCAAAATCGAACCCGTTGCCTCAAGAGTCGAAACTTCACCTCAAAACGGACCCATCACCTCAAACGTGGACCCGTCACCTCAAACATGGATCCGTCGCTTCAATATGGACCTGTCGTCTCAAACACGGACCCGTCGTCTCGAAACTGGACCTGCTGTATCCAGACTGACTCTGCCATCTCAAAACAGGCCCGCTGTCTCTCCCGTCACCTCAAGATGGACCCCATCACCTCAAATGTAGACCCGTCGCCTAAAACATGGACCCAAGGCATGAAAAATGATCCCGCCATCTCAAAATCGGACCCGCTGCCTCAAAACAGACCCATTGCCTTCTCCGTCACCTCAAAACGGACTCTGTCGCCTCGAACATGGACCCAGCGCCTCAAAAGCAGGCCTGTTGCCTCAAAAACGACCCCATCGCTGCAAAAAAACACCTTTCTCCTGCGCTGTCGAGTCTCAGCGTCGCTGTGGACTGCGCCTGCTCACTTTCAAGCACACCCACCTTCCCCCCACTCGCTTTGCAGCCCACCCGCTCGCTATGGACCCCACTCGCTTATTCTCCAGTTCGCATGTTCATTTCTGACCCCATCTGCTCGCTCTCAACTACCGTAGCTCATGTAGTACTCATTCAATATATTTTATTTATTTATTTTAAATTTAAACTATCATAAAGTGTGTAATTAAAGTCCCATGAGTCCCAGTATGCGCCGTGTACTCCAATCAAGCTTTAATATTATAGTTTCTTGATAATCAGGTTGCCTTGTTGAGTTCACTTGGGAGCTGTGAGCAATGATGATAGCAAATCCCAAGCGAGTTTGCCCTATATATTCCTGTGTATCACCTTGGCATTTAGATGGTAATAATTATTTTTATTATGGTACTTGCATATATTGCAAGGACCTTACATGGCATTGTCCAAGTGTTTTTGATCCACTGATGGCCTGTGTAGGAAGCTGTGGTTCACCGAGGTGTTGTGGCAAGGGACTGAATCCCGGCGTATGAGAACCAGAGCTGGAGTTGAGCGACGGGGGAAATGACGCAGACGGCATCCTGGTTTCCTCAGATGGCAAAGGGTTCAAGAGGAATGGGTCGAAAACCCAGTCCGTCTCGGTGTGTGGTACCAGAGAATCAACAACCATCGCATCGGATGGCGCGCCGGCTGGCTGTTGAACAGGTGGCTGCTCTGCTTCTGGAGCAGCAGATGGTTCGACGTGGACTGGCTGTCCGCCATTAGTAAACCTCGGACTTGCGGCTCCCCTTTCGACGGTCCAAGGCGTGCTATTGTTGATGCTTCATCTCTACCATGAAATCGAGGCGTCCGGGTGCGGTGGGGGTTTCACTGTAGGCACCCAGGGGTTTGTGATCGCGGAACGAGGGCAAAGCTCGCACTAGCCCACATCCTTTGATAGTCATATTTCAAGGAGAAAAAAAGAAGACACGGTGTCGAGGTACATGAGCGCCCTATGGAACCCGGTCGAGCTACAGCTATTTAGAGAGTCGCTCGTAACAGCACATATGAACTATGGTCTAAGTGAACAATGCAACGTGGCATAAATAACATCTAACCAGTATCTCCATCTTTAGCACCAGGTTCTGAAGGTACGGGTGAGGTTGATTGGGTGAGGGCAATACTTGAGGGGCGAAACATCACTTTCATGCGCTTGGGTGCGTCGTCCCCCGGTTTCATCGCCGCAGCTCGACCGGGTTCGTCAGCCTTTTGGCTCCAACATCCGCGCGTTTAGTTTTAGTTGCGAGGCGTTCCAGCAATTCGTCATCGTCATCCTCCCTTCTCCGTTTTTCCGACAGGCGTATTGAGGGTAACTGGGCTTTGGTCTTCCCAGCAAGCTTCGCAGGGTCTTCGCCTATTGAAGGCGATAGCGGAACACCCTTCGAGCGCAACAGTGACTCTAGAACGCTGTCATCCTCTTCAGATGAGCGCCGCCTGGGAAGTGAAGCTGGTCGAGGTACTTGGCGGTGAGCTAGTCGTGGGCTTGGTGGTATGTCTAGGGAAGGAGAGAGTGGTGTGGTGGGATTTTCCTTCGAGATAGTTTTGGAGGAAGGAACGGGGGATGACGATTCGGGAGGAGTGGGCGGACCGATGTCTTCGTCGTCGTCGCCGTAGTCCATGAGAGATGGCAGGGGAGGTGTGCGAGGGAGTGTGAGACCCTGGGGTCGCGCAGATTTGGACCACGCCATTGCACCACGTTGTTTGCGCTTCATGATGCTCAGTGGAGAAGCTGCGCGACCTCCAAGGTTTGCTGAGCTGATGAACGGAGGTGGTGTGTCGGCTTCATCGTCGTCCCGGTTGAAGTAATCTTCCTCTTCGGCGTCGATGTTTCGGCCCAAGCGGCGCGACTCCGAAGCCCTGTGACAAATTTAGTAAGCTACGTCCTTTGGAGCTAAGTCAACTTACCGATCATTGTTAGCCTCCTCCTGGGGTGGAGGCTCGACATTCATTTCCCAGCGGCGTATGAAGGCTGAGAAGTGTGGTCCTCCCAATGTTGTCTCGCTGAGTTTGCGGACTACATCTCCATGGATTGTCATACAGTGATTAATGAGGTCTTTAATATTTTCCTACAACGGGGTAAGCTTGGCTATCGTAAATAATGAAGATGATGGGTTACCCGTCGCATATGCTCGAAGAACTCTTGACATGACGCACTCAGTAAACTATCCCGATGTGACTCCTGCAGAGTAAGTTCGAGTATAGGCTTGAAAACATCAAGTTTCATAAGGTGACCGAGAAAGTTTTTATTGTTGATCTTGAGGCATACGCGGAAGAATCGGAAGGCAGCTATAATAAGACAGAACAACAGGTATCAGAATGGAAGGACTCCGGAAAATCGGGGGCACGGACCCAGTCGAAGGTGCTTGTCTCGAGCGCTCATTAGTGTAGCCACGCGAGTGGATATGTTCGAAGAAAGCATGTAAAAATGACTGCGGAATGCATGTTGTTGGGCAAAATTGCATAGTAAATCGGATAAGTATAGGAAAAGATTAGTTCTCTCTCGTGATAACCTCAAAACAGGTTCTATGATGGTCACATTTAGACCAGAGCGATGGCATCTAAAAGGTCGTGCGCACCTGTTTGCTTCCTGAAGTCTGGTATGTCGCTGTATGATCTGAACAGGACCTCTAGGCAGTTCTTGTAGAAGTACTCCAGAAACCTCTCAGTCCCTGGGTCGTCTTTGGGGCGAGCCAACATCTTCGCACTGATGGCAGCCTAACCGCAAGATCAGCAAAACGCTTGCAACCCTGGAAATGTTACTTACAGGTGTAGCGCCAGGACCGACAGGGCTTTGTGAAACGTCTAGCAGAGCTTTCAGTGCGTCGCCGATCTGACATTGCACGCCCACGTCGCGACTCTGGTTCATGACTCTGCACATCAGCTTCAGAAGTGTCTCCGCCCTGTCCACACCTAACCGACCAGCCTCTTTTTCCCTTTCAACAGCAGCCGCCTGTTTGTATACGTGCCCGCGAACACCGTGCAAATCATGATCAAGCAAGGTCGCTAGGATTTCACCCGCGGCACTGACAACACCTTTCGA